GGTGGTGAGCAAGAGTTACGCAGTACTTCTGTTAAATTAGGTGCAAAGTGAGCGGTAGGTACGCTCTAAGTGGGCGGTAGGTACGCATTAAGTCGTGGGCCGTATTATGTAGTGTTATCTCATTATTTTATAATTCAAGTTTTAATCAGACTGTCATACTTTGTAGAAACAATTTAGTAGGCAAAATGTTTTAGGGAAAGTAGAAATTATGTAGATAGATCTCACATCAAATTATTTTTTGTATCCGACACACAAAGTTTTTCAGCCTCACGTCACTGAATAAAAATTAATGATTAAATTGTATGATTACTGGTGTCTCCTCCTCTCCCTCTCCTGATATTCTTTATTCATTAGATCTGATTCATTTTTTTTTCAATAGATAGGCAAAGAAAAAATAAAATAAAAAACTCTGAGTCCTGGCAAGTCTACTGATTTAGTATCAGAGCAAGCCAATCATCGTTCAAGCCTCTTCAAAGATTCCTCCTCCTTGAAGTTCAGTGATTGAAGTGACACACTGAATTCCTCATCAGTATGTGGCTGACTCACCTCTGCGCAGCAGTTGCAAGTAGCGTTGCAGGCAAATGCTGCGACAGTGATTGAAACGATGAGCTCTAGAAAATGGAAAATAGCCAAGACCCCTGAAAACCCCTGCATCCGACTCTGGCAAAAACAAGCATAAGAAAATCTAGTTAGTAAAATGAACATGGTGAAAGTGACAATTGTGGCAGATTGGGCAGCTTTATCAGCGATCAACTTGCCTAGTTAAGCTATAAGTGGACAAACAATATTCTGTGGAAGTGTTCAGCCAAAGGTCAACTGATCATTAATCTGACAGTAACTCATAACTGATACATGACTTATATCCACGCTGTATAGTTTTGATTAGCCTCCAAATGTTGGGAAAAAGTATCAAACTGAATACCAAATACAGGTAGCAGATGGACTGCCAGGAACCAGTGACGTAGCATGAGTTCATCAATCCTGCAGCATCCAGACCGTAGAGGATGGTTGCAGTAGTGGAAGCAACTGCTGCTACAACACTGACAGCCAAAGCACCCCTCACCTTCAAGAGAGACGAGACGTCAGGACATGTGGCCATGCAGTGACCTGCCGCACAACTCGACAATGTTGACATTTGTTGTCCATTTGCATGAAGATTTTTTTTAACTAATGGTAAAATTTTATTTTATTTCTTTATTTTTATTAATTAATTTTTCCTCTTTCTTTTCTTTTTCCAACTTAATTTTGCTTAATCTAATTACAATCTACCCTTGACTCTTTCCCTTTTGTCGGTTCCTCTTGTTCGAACTCATTCCCCTTTTTACTGCTACATCAACTTCATCAACACACACACACACACCAAGCTTGTATATAGTTAGTTAGAATTTGTGTGTTCTGGGATTTAAGGCCCAGACACACCAAACCAACATCAAATAACTAGCAGTAACAAAAAACAACTGTTGTGAACCTCACGTCGCCTGTGTCTTGTCCAAAAATGTTGAACATGAATTCATGGCAAAGACTACATCCAACAGCCAATCAGCACATGCATACTGCACTTGCTTGAGAAGAAATAACTCTTCCAACAGCAGACACTGGTAGTCTGTAACCATTGTTCAAAAAGGGAAACCAGAAGACTGTCAGGACTCTAGTTAGCCAGTTAGTACATTCTCAACACAATCTAGTATTAAAAGAAAAAAAGCATATTTACTGTGCGCTAGTGAACAAAAACACAATCCATCATAAACTGTTTAGGCCGAAGAGCTCAATGGCTAAAGAAAAAATAATCTTGCCTTATGTACAAGTTTGTTTTGACCTCACTCCCTCTTGACGCTTGTTTACTTTCCTCACTGTTTTCTCTCCTGAGCTGAACTGACAATGAGAGTGATTTCATTCACCGACGGGCTCTGCTATCTCTGCTGCCAATTGAACATGCTGAACACTCCCTAGTCTTTGTGGGACACACTGTAAAGAAAAGGACGACAGGTGCTCCCTGATAGCCCAACATTAGCCCTTTTTAGATAGGAATTGTGCAAATTTGCAGGAAAGCCCAACATTGACAGTATAAATACAAAATCGAGCAGTGCAGCAAAATGCTGCCTACCTAATTTTGTGTATACAGAATGTGCCTTTTTCGGGGCAATGGGGGGCGTGAGCAAGTAACAAAACGTGTAGCTCAGCGTGTGACGTAAACAGTGACGTGGGAGGGAAGCCTCGGCTGGTCAGTCCTTCAGCAATTCTCTCGTAAGTCTGCCTGTTCTTCACCGTTCCTGTCATCTGACGGTTAATGGCCTCTTTGTTTGCGAGAGCAAGGAGGCTGCGCAATTCCTTGTCTCCCCAGTTGCTCATCTTTACAGTGTCTGTCAGGTTTGCGTCTCCCTCTTGCTACTAGCTGCTCGCTAATTCCTGCTATCAGCTGTTTCCTGTTTATCCACCGCCAGTGGCTCGCACGCGCGGCGTCATCAACAGCTCCTCCCACAAGTCTTCAACAGCCCCTCCCGTTGCGGAAGGCCGCCTCGCTCTGTTTAAACTAAAATGGTTCCACCAATATGACTACCCTACGAGGCTGAAAATTGGGCACCTCGGATCAACTCGGCAATCCGGCTCTGTGTGTCCAAAGGCTCACAGCTTGCCGGCAAAACGGCCCAACGTTCGTGGAAAATCTGGCAGCGTAAAAGGCTCTATTGACCGATGGCCGACCGTCGGCTTGGCGTACATTAAGACTCTGAAAGCAACATGTCACTGAACAAAATTTGGTGAAATGATACAGGTGCCTTTCAGAATTCTCTGATTGGCTCTGGAGTAGGCTACCTACAACTCAGAGGAAGACCCATGATTTTGTTGGGATTCACCGGACCACAGATGATTTGTCATTTGTTAAAATCTAAACTGGACATTTAAAGGCTTCCTTCTCTGCATGCTCTTTGTTCTCCAAACAAAGACAACTATTTGACACCCATCTCCAGGATGTCTCACCTCACACCTCAGTGAGACACAAGTCTCACAACTTGATTGGACAGGACTTTTACAGTGACATGTGACTCTGTGATGTCACAGGCATCTGTCTGCTCCCTTCAGACAGTCCTCCTACAGCATAGCAGCCCACACCTCTTTCCTACTGGGCCTGGAACAGCCCAGATGCTCAGGCCCTTGCTCCTTGCCCTGAACCATCAAAGGTGGGGCACTTGCTCACAGACTCTCTTTTTCCTGGACCTCGACTTGCCCACGCTCAAGGCTGAGGCAAACCTGAACCAGAGAAGTTAGACTTGCAAGCACAAGGTTTGCAACTAGCTTTCCAGCAACAAGGAACTAAGTGAGTTAGCACCCAGCATCTAACTCTGCAAGGACCCCGAGTGACTGGCTTCCTCAGATCAGAACCTTTGGAACAAGGACACAACAAAAACTGCAGCTAGAACCACAGCTCTTCCCAGCCTTCTTCTGTCAGCTAACAAAGCAGTACACCACCAAGTGACTCTTTCTCCCATTCAATCAAGGATCGGTAAAGTAACAACTGGGCATAGCTTCATCACAGCTTTACAGGCTAAGCAAGACTGTTTAACTTGTTGTATGTGACTTAATGCTGTCATTGAGTTATTGTTGTGATTGTTTGCAGTTAGGTCATTCATTACTTGGCTTCGCCAAAGCTAAGTGTTTAGTTTGCTAATACTGTTCACAAACAGATTCTTGCACACAACTAAACAATCTCTACACTAATCCAGACTGTTTGCAACACAAATCACATTCACACAGACTCATTAACAAATAGGCTTTCAACACAATACCCAACCAGGCATCTCAAAGTTCCCGCTTCTTTTCCTTTGTCTTTGTCCTGACCACAGACAAACACCTCCCCCAACCTGAAGCCAGCTTTGATTCGGCCATCTTGTAGTTCTCTGTTTTCAGCCATTTTGTTTTGTAGGCCAAACTGCTCTTTGATCAACACACTCGCCTTTGCTTGCCAAGCTTGTATATAGTTAGTTAGAATTTGTGTGTTTTGGTTTGCTTTGCTAGTTTGTGAATAAATACAATTCTTTGGAATCATACCTGTTGTCTGTTTAATGTTGCACAAGAGTGAATGAATAGTCAACCTCTGCTTCGCCAAGAACTCCGAAATCCTTCAGGCTTCACTGTTAATTTTGGTTATTGTCATTAATTTAATTATTAATCAAAACTCCAAATTAATAGTTTAGCGTATTTTATGAAACTGATACCTTTAACTGGCTACCATTTTTCCTTTACGAGAATGGTGCCCCACGAGGTGATTTAATGTTAATTAAGTGACATTATTCAACATAATTAGTAATTATTATCAATAATTATTAATTATTTCCAATAGACAGTTGACCCCAACATAATTGGTGCCTCCACGTGAAGCCCTAATTTATGTTCACAACATATTTGGTGCCCCTTGGTGAGGCCTAATATGTTGATCCCTACATATTTGGTGCCGCCATGTGAGACCTAAAATTATGTTCCCAACAATTTTGATTTGTAACACTTGTTCAGTGGGAAAATCTAATGTAGCGTGGGCACATTTTAGTTGTTGAAATGTTAAAATATGGCAGCTGTTATAAATCATAAAATACCCAGAATTACTTGTTTTTGTTGTTTGATGTTTGCTTGTTTGATAGCATTTCCCAGCATACTGAGAGCATATTGGTTACATTTTTTATGCCTCCTGCTGCTTTCACAACACATGAGGATTCACTGACCAGTTTCAGTTTGTGTTATAGCTATTTTCTTATGCAAGGGTGAATTGGTCAAACAAGTTAAACACTACTTTGATGGCATAAATGACGCATTTTCTAATTTTCAGCTAGGTTTCTGTCTACTGCATGACTAGGATCATAATAAAAGTAGCTGAGTTTTGTACATACTGCCACATAACACCATCACCAACCTAGAAGCTCAGAGATGTATTGAAAGGATTGTTCAAGGGCAAGTGTAAGATACAAACCATGCAACAGTTCATAGAATTCCCAGCAGCCACTGTCAGAGATCCAGCTGCGATGTACTGTAACAGAGAAGGATATAAGTATACATGTATTACATACTGTCTGGTGAAGACATTTTGTCCACAACAGCAGGACAACAAGATGTGAACTAAATACATGATCACTTGTGTAATCTTGGCATATCCAGCATGTCAATATAAAACCCATGTATGGTTCAAATTAGAATCAGGATATAAAGACTGACATGATAACTGCTTCCCAGCAGTGACATCAACGTGTTTTTATTACTCTCTTGTGACTGGTTGCAGTTTCAGTAATTAACACCCTCATAACTGACAAGTTAATAGATAACAAGTCAACAGGGAAACTACAATTATAATTTATGGAAAATACATTTTTCCCTCAAGTTGTTTTTTTCATTTGAATAATTTATTTTCAGACATATCTATCTACCTGATTAACAGTTTAACAAGTGATATGTTTTTTTCAGGCCCACCCTGTCCATTAGTACAGATACATCAACATAACTGATGACTTCCTCTGGATCAATTGTTTTCTGTCTTATCTAACCTACCCTGCAGCTTTAAAGGATAAGTTAGGACGTTTTCCTAGTAGTATAATACTACTTACATGAATGCTGTAATTAGTTAACACTATTTTTCCTTTTTCTTGTATTGACCTAAAACTGTGTGGCTTTGCTGTAAGAAATGGAGACTGACTTTACTACTGGCTTTTCTTTACTATAAAGTTCCTGCATTGCCAGAACATCATGGGGTGACTGCGGCTCAGGCGACCCAGTCTCACTCAGTGACTTCCAGCATCAGACTCCGACAACAAAAAGCCGTCCTTTCACATCTGCATGATACACTGTTGGCCGCCGTTATTGTTTAAGGGCACTGGGTGGTGTCAGGGGGAAACACGACCTGACAATAACATAAGTTAGGGTGGCAGAAGTCCCAGCACGATGGACAGGAGAGGTGGTGGATGGGTCTAACAACCACTGACTTTCACTGGGGAGGCCGGTGTTCCTAAACCCCAAACCCTAACACTAACCCTAAGCCAAAACCTGTTCTTTTTTCTTAATCCCAACCATGTGCTTTTGTTGCCTAAACCCAACCATGTGTGTGTGTTGGCCAAATGTAATCATGTGCGTTCGTTTTTGATGGGAAGAAAAAGTCAATTAGTGGTGTTGCACCAATGTAGTGCATTTATTTTGAAAGAGACTGAATGCAAATTGTGCATTTACTGTTGAAATGAAAGTGTATTTTGAAAACAGACAATGCATGTAACAGGCAGAACTGGACAGGGCATCCCAGAACGTCAGCAACAGACGCACACAGGATACCTTGCATGTCGTATGTTGATGTGGAAAGTCCATGACCAAATGTTGATATGTGATGAGGTTGGAGTGAGCATGTGTTGGCTAAGGAGGCTGAGCAGGTCAGCCACTAATAACAGGGTTGGTAGTTTTGATTCTTCTGTCAATGTGTCTTTGGGTAAGACAAGAAACCCCTTCCTGCTCATGATTGGTGTGTGTGTTTAGCTGTATTTTTTAATTTTCTTTGTGATGATTTTTGTCATTGTTGTTGCAACTTTGTCCTAATTTCCATATATTTAGAACAATTTAAACCAGCAGATGAAATCTCAAAAGCATGACATCACTGTAAGGCTGACTCACAAACAAAGCTCCCCAGACAAAAATCCCACTGAAGACTCCAATTGTATCTGCATTAACTGCCATAGCAACCCCAAACAGCAGCACCATCAGGCCAATCATGATCTGAACAGTCTGGAATGACAAATACAGATTGAGAAGTTACACAGATGGTAAAAAAAAAAAAACCCTTTGTGTCAGACAAAGAAATATGAAAGCAAACCATAGGTGAATTTTAGCAGTACAAATGTTTTCTGATTCTTAGTTTGTGTTGATGATCATACAACATATAATAAAATAAAACCATCACCATGATGAAAACTTTTCCAATCAATATTCAACATTTTAATAAAATTCTGCAATTTGGTACATGTCCTCTGGCTGCCAGATTCTTATTACAATTGGTTACATACCACATTAGACACAAAGAAATTGTTTAAAACCAAATAGAAAAATTACTTTTGCTGGTTTGAAAAAAAATAGAGTGGACTTAATTATTTCTACTTAATTCTAATGTAGAAAGAGCAGGGTTTAATTTTTTAATTAATCTTTAAAGTTTTGTACCAGATGGTTGTTTATCACTACAATGATGGGAACTGTGTTTATATTTGATATGGCATGCTTCCACATGGTATTTTATTTTTGACCATTGCACCTTTAGATATGATATCTCGATGACCATCATCAGGAAGTTAATCAGTGATTCATTTTAGAGCAATCAAAGCTGATTGCTCTGACTTAAGAAAGAGTTTAATAATAAAGATTAAAATGAAAGATCACTAATAGAAGAAACATAATGATAATTTGGAGGCCACATGTCCCCACGCAGCTCCGCCGATTTCCTGGGCCCCCTGAACCCCAACATTCGCTCCTCTGTAAAGAATCTCGGGGTGGTTTTTGATAGCCAATTTGACAAACAGATTAGTGCTTTTGTCAAAACTACCTTTTTCCAACTACGTCTTTTAGCCAAGACCAAGCCCTATTTCTCAGCTGCAGATTTTGAAAGGGTGATCCATGCCTTCATAACCACCAGATTAGACTATTGTAACTCCCTTTATGTTGGCCTGAAACAGTCCTCCCTCAACCGTCTACAGCTCGTCCAGAACGCTGCTGCTCGCCTCCTCACAGGCAAGAAAAAGCACGACCACATCACGCCAGTTTAAGCCTCCCTCCACTGGCTCCCGGTCCGTTTTGATTGATTGATTGATTTTAAACTTCTTTTAATTGTTTTTAAAGCCCTCAACGGTTTGGCCCCTCTGTACCTCTCTGAGCTCCTTTTGCGCCACACCCCAACCAGAACCTTAAGGTTTTCGGACCGACTACTGTTGGTGGTGCCAAAAACCAGACTAAAGTCTTGAGGTGACAGAGCCTTCGCAGCGGCTGCCCCCAGGCTTTGGAACAGCCTCCCCCTTCACATTCGATCGTCCCAGTCCCTAGAGACTTTTAAATCCTCCCTAAAAACCTTTCTCTTCCACCTGGCATATCATTCAGCCTGAGCACGATGATCTCAAGTTTTTTTGTTTTTTTTTTAAATTGCTATTTTAATGTTTGCACTGTTTGCTCTGTTTTCTTCTCGTTGTTTTCTACATCTATTCTATTTTTATTATTGATGTTGTTTTAACTCTGTACCCAACAATGTGCAGCACTTTGGTCGACTGCCGTCATTTTAAATGTGCTTTAGAAATAAATCCTGACTTGACTTGACTTGACTAAATGTGTGTGAGATGGACACATAATCCACACAATCCCTGCCATTGCTATTAGCTAACAAACAAACAATGTTTCTCCACCTTATTGTAAACTGCAGACAATATGTATGTATGTAAGCTGAACTGTCTACCTCCAGAAACTGATCGTGGCTCTTACCCCAAGCGCCAGTAGCCGGCCCTTGCTGAACCTCCCCGGAGTATCCACATAATGTTGGTGTCCAAGACCCTGGGGTAATGGGTGCACATGAGTGACCACCACCACACTTCCTGCTGCAGCTGAAGCCATGTTTAAGGTAAAATGATTCTTTGCTGCTCTGAACTGTAGATTATTGATCAGTCAGAGGGAAGCTCAGAAGTTAATTATTCATCAGTGAACCATAAATACTGAGTGCTTCTTGCCCTGACGCACTGAATGATCGTCAGTATGCTTTGATTAGACTGTTGCTTATTAACTAAACCATGGAAATTTGCGTGTATGTGTGTGTAAGAGAGAGCAAGAGAGAGAGAGAGAGAGTGTGTGTGTGTGTGTGTGTGTAGGCTTATGAATGTTTGTTGGTTTTGCATATGACTGTCATGCACCTATATTCTGCTGAATTGCACACACAGCTTGTGCAATGATGTGGTTTCTAAAGAGAGCTTTTTTTATTGCCAGTTGGTGAACAGATTGTAATGTCACTGAGACTTTCCATGCCTTTGTGGGTTGCCTGGAACATTATTATTATTCTATTGTACACAATTTAAATACAAACTATAAGGCATTCTGTATATAAGTTTATTACACGGCTCTATTAAATGCTGTATTCTGATTGGTCAGTTGCGGCATTCAGCGGTCTGATATTACTGTGTAATGACCGCTGCTAGTAGCAACGGTCATTACAAAGTTGCTATGTAGCCCAGCGTTGCTAGGGATGCTGCACTGCAACACTGCAGCTGTCAAACAACTTCCGAGGGAAAAAACAAACAGAAGTGGCTGATTTTAACATTTCTTTTAACTTATTTGGAGAGTAGCTACAAGGACTTTGAGGAATGGGATGCCGATGAAGAAAAAGAAATGGAGAAGGAAAGAAAAAAATCAAGTGAAAAATGGCACAAGGAACTGACACCTGAAGGGCTTCAAGTGATAGAGGAGGAGAAAGATGAGATGAGATGAGATACTGACGGGCTTTCTCTGCCAAAAACAAAGGAACACGGATTTGAATACACACTTGGCAGTCATGCTTTATGACATTTTACGCGAGTTTTATGCCTCGGTTCAGTCCACTAAGCCTGGGTGAGTACAAAACTTTCACCAAAAGTTGACGAATCAGGTCAGTTTTAATGCACTTCGCGGAGGCAGACAACATTATTTATTTAACTGATAATTAGCCGTATAATAAGCGGGATAATGTATAATGAGCCGGTGAATACTGGGAAAACAGGGGAATAGAACCGCGACGCGCAGCCCTGTCTGGAGTTATTTTCCCAGTATTCACCGGCTCATTATACATTATCCCTTGCTTATTACACAGCTCTATTAAATGCTGTATTCTGATTGGTCAGTCGCGGCATTCAGAGGTCTGATATTACTGTGTAATGACCGTTGCTATGTAGCCCAGCGTTGCTAGGGA